TTTAAATCAGTGATCCTCAAACCACATGTTTTCGAATCTGAATGGAGACGGGCCTCCCCTGGAATTTCCTTATCAATTGAGATGGGGCAATGATCTGAGGTAACCCTAGGTAGCACTTTCACTACTATTGAGCCCCACAATTCTTCCCAGTCAGGATTAATTAGAAATCTATCCAGTTTGGAGCAGGTTGGGGGGGATTAGAAGTTTGATCGTGTTATAGTCCACCCTTAACATTGGAGGTTCAATCGATTCAAGGGACTCGATTAAGTTATTAAACTTCCTCATACTGGAAGTGACTCCTTGGTTCAGCTTGTTTGTTTCTCCCGAAAATCTGATAACATTGAAGTCACCTCCCACACACCATGGTCCCTCCCAAACTCCTCTAATGGCACATAACTCCTCCCAAAAGGCCTCCCTGTCTCTATAGGAATTGGGACCATATACATTTGTTACCACCCACTCACACCCGTCCGAGGGTCTTCTAATTTTTATGGAAACTGAGTATCTGCCAATCAATTCCTCCACACATTCCATTTCCTCATTTCTCCAAATGGCCAAAATCCCTCCTAAGGCTCCCCATGATGGGGCAAACGACCAACATAGACCCCTAGCTCCCCAAATGCTTCTTATCCACCTTTTATTCAACTCTGATAACTTGGTTTCTTGAATCAAAATCAGATCTCGTCTTTCTTTCTTGAGAGTGTTCCTAATTATTCTCCTCTTTTTGGCACTTCCAAGGCCTCTTACATTCCAGCTGACTATCTTCATTTCAATCTGCTTAAAACCCCTAAATCAATGGTTGCCTATTGTATCCCTCTTTTTCTTTTCAGGCTCCCTTCTTCCTGCCTTTCATAGTTAATTCCCCTCTTTAGTATCTTGACGATGTGTCTTCTCTGGGATTTCTTCGTCTTCCCTCCTGACTAGCTCTGAGTTCACCACTAAGACTGGCGTAGGACTATCGTCTGATTCTTCTCTTGGAACCAAACTGCAGCATTTAGAGGGAATTCCGAACAGCAAGATGCGAGTTTTAGCGGTATTGACACTTCCGATGCTATCGTCTAGCTCCAATAGGTGTGCCTTCTCTTGCAATAAATCTTCCCAGGCACTTTCCTCTTCAAATTCGTCGCTTTCATGTCTATTGAATTTCAGATTTGGTTTCTCAGAGGATGTAGAGTTGTTCGTCGACACCGGTTTCCATACCTAAGTGTTGCCGCTACCTTCTCCGGCGTCCCTTGAACCTCTGGTGGCGGCCTTGCTTCTCTGTATTAAACCCGCAGCGGGGGGACGAACAACAGGGGTCGAGAAAGACGATGATAGCCCCCTGCTAGGGGTGGCAACGAGCCGAGCTGCTCAAGCTCGAGCTCAAGCCCAATTCAGTGGCTCGATTAATAAACGAGCCGAGCTCGAGCCTACTAGAGCTCGGCTCGTGAGGCTCGCGAATCGACTCGAATATATATAATATATATAATATATATAATAAAATTATAAAAAATAATATATATAATTCTTAATTATTATAATTCTTATTTTTTAAATATAAAATAAATTTTTATAAAATATATAATAAATATTTTTATAAAATATAAAATGAGCCGAGCCGAGCCAAGCTCGAGCTTATGAACTTTTGACTCGAGCCGAGCTGAAGCTCAAGGTTCTGGCTCGAATCGAGCTCGATCTCGAGCTCGAGCCTGGTACCATTCGACTCGGCTCGGCTTGAATCCACCCCTGACCCCTACTATTGTCCGCCAACTTTTGGTTTGAGTCACGCTTTGGTTCGATCAGTTCACCCGTCGGGTTGACTGAAGCCGTGTGCTTAGCATTAAATGAGCATTTATTGCTCGTTCCAGCCGTCACCTCCACACACAATCGAACTGAAGCCACACGTGAGTTGATGGACGGCTCAGATTGAAAGTTTTCCTTAGTGCCCTAAAATTCCACTTTCGAACTGAGCGACTGCTCACTTGCCTTTGTTTTGCAAAAACGGTCAAGTTTCTTTATTTCTTTGACCCTTGCCACATCATCATCTTCAATCTCCCAAAGATTTCTCCACAATCTCTCCTCTACCGACGATAGCAGCCACACGGATTGAGATTCTCCGACTCCCAACTTCACTGTTCTTGGGACTTCTTCCACCTTAATCCCTCTCACACCCATTACGGACACACTGAGATTTGACGTGTCCACTGTCCAACTCTTCCAAGGCGCCTCCGCACAATATGGTATACTTGGTATTGGAGACCAAGAGAAAATTCAATGTGACCTCTTCCGTTACCGTGGTCAAATATTAATAACAAATGAGAGATTGAGGAGGATATTGTCTCATAGAGGTAGAGTAGGATGGACAAAATGGAGGGGTGCATTAGGAATCTTGTGTGAAAGGAAAATACCACCTTGTCTAAAAGGAAAATTCCATAAACAGTTGTAAGGCCAGCTATAGTATATGGAGCAAAGTGTTGGGTAGTTAAAGGACAGATTGTCCAAAAAATGAGTGTAGCAGAAATGTGAATGCTTAGATGGATGGGTGGTAAAACTAGAAAGGGCAGGGTTAGAAATGAGGTCATATGAAGGAACTTAGGAATAGCTCTAATAGGGTGATAAAATGAGAGAAAGATGACTGAGATGGTTTGTCCATGTGCATGGAAGATGTAGCGCCCATTAAAAGTTATCTATTACAAGTTTACAAGTTCAAGGGGCTAAAAGAGGTAGGGGAAGACCGGGCAAAACTCTACTCTGGCCCTTTAGGTGTTGGGAACTCTATCCGGGCAGAACTGTTAGCTGCAATACAAGGAATACTTCTTGCAAAAGAAGTGGGCGTGGAGCAGCTTCTGATTGAAGGAGAATCTAAGACAGTGGTGGACTGGTTAAATAATCCAGAGGATGTCACTTGGGGCTACAAAAATGAGTTAAAGAAATTCAAATGGCTGACAAGAAATATGTCTATAACAGTACAGTGGGTTGGGAGATCAGCTAATGAATTTGCCAATGTCTTGGCAAAACAAGGGATAAATAGGGAAACATTGTTCTGGGCACAACTGTAACTCTTGTTTAACATCAACATTCATGTAGTTTTTGTATTTGCTGTTCGGAGAGGCGGCACCTCGCACCTCTAAGGGGATTTTCATGTAACCAATCATTAAATTAATGGAAGATGACTTTATTTATCAAAAAAAAAGACCAAAAAAGGACTTGGCAGGTAGTATGGAATGATTTAAGTGCCCACAATTTAATGATAGATGACATTGAACAGAATGGATGGTACACATTCTATATAGCCGAGCCCTTATAGTTGTGACCTTAAATTAATTATTGTTATCATTTATAGTACACGTTCTACACATTACATACAGTCATACACTTTGAAATGGTAATACCGTCATTTGGCTTAACTAATGGAAATTTCAAGTCCGTTGGTGTTTATCAAAGATTTATCCTTAATATCAATATGAGATACTTTGCTATTCATATATCTCCAGTGCTGCAGGAATGGAAGCCTCTACCTACAGAGTATCAAAAATGAATTTTGATATCTGTTCCTAGGGCAGATGAGGACCATCAGGCATTAGTTGAGAATATGGAGATAACACTGGTAAAGTTCTCAAGGTATCTTCAGGTCCAATAGATGATGGGACTCTAATACAGCAGAAATAACAGCTTTAGTCCAGGGTATGAATGTAGGTTAGACCCTGAATATTGTCAGGAATCAGGCAGAACCACATAAGGGGACTCAAAAACAATCATAAGCTGGATGCTAGCTCAAGCCAATATTCTGTGGACACTTGGAGACCTTATAAGGGAGGCAAAATCATTTTGCAACCAGGTTAAAGTGCTTGTTCAAGTAGAGATCAGATAACACTGGTGGATAGACCAGAAAAAGATGGATAGCAAGCTCACGACTAGGCCCTCCACTCCTTCCTAACTCAGAATAACATATACTTTTATTTTGTACTGCTTCCATGTTGTCAGCCCAAGGACCATGGTCCCCACTCCCACTCCCTCCACTCAAAGGGTGAAAAGGTTGTGCTTCATTCTCTCTTATTTCAAATTGATAAAATTCATCTATCCTGATTTAAAAATAATAATAATACTTTTTTGTTCATCAAAAAAAATCATCTATCCTGATAATGATCAAAAATAAGAAAAATTAATAATATCAGATGCTATCCAGCAACCCTAGAGCTTGATATCAGGTTTTCAGTCTAACCACATTATTTTGAGAGAAGAAATCTCTGACACATGGGTACCAACTGCCAAGTTTGATTGCCAACTAAATATTTGATTAAAACAAACTATGTATGCAGTTAGCATTCATTGATTTAACATGAATCCCTAAAACAGGGACATCAATCCCTAAACCAGTGAATCCTCAAATCATCTTTTCTTACATTGCAATTTCAGCACAACTGTGTGGAGTTACTTTTTAAAAGCCCTGAACTTGAGTTTGTGTATGCCTGCCACAGTGGAAGCTATGTTGGAAGATTGAGATGGTCCAAGAAGAGGAAAGTTTGCTGGTCTGTAATTCCTTTGGCGATTCTTTGGGTTTTGTGGAGTGAAAGGAGCAGCAGAATTTTTGAGCTTGTTACTTCATCTGAAGCTGAAGTCATCAATCATGTTTTAGATGTCTTAAGGAACTAGTTGTCTGTAACTCAAGTCTTCAAAGATGTTACTATGGATGGCTCTTTTTCAAATGTGGACTACTTGTATAGTCTCCTTGTACAAAGGACCTTTACTTGTACGCTTATTAATACAATAATACTTTACCTTTCCTCAAAAAAAAAGAGAATCTACCAAACCATATCAGCCTTTGCTATTTTTAATACTAAAAACCAGTGACAGTAGAAAATTTTAGACAAAATAAATAAAGTTAAACAATTCCCAATCTTCTGATTACCTTAGCTGTAGATCCTGTAAAGAATCTAAAGATAGTACCATATGAAAAGGTAGAAGTAGACCAACATACAAGCAAAAAATGTAATGCCAAAAAAGGTGAAAAATAAAGATACCATGTATCCAGTAAATTGATGGGTTGTCATTCTGTTCAGCAGTTTTTTCATTCTTCTCTTCAGCTGTTTTTTCACAATTATCCAGAATGACTGCTACTCGGTCACCATTCACCTCAAATACCTCTCCACGCTGCCCATTTGACAAAGACCTAGATATGACAGATGGTGCCAAGGTAAACAATTTATTAAACAATACAATCTGACATTTGCAGTAAATACCCAAACAAGTACAAGAAAATCATTTTACATAATATCCATGATATCCCAGTTAAACTAGCACAAAATTTATACAAAAACATTCATATGAAAATATGAATGATCAAAAAGACCCCAGAGGAATTTTTCTGAAAATGATCAGAGATTCCTTACACAAACAAGTGAAAACCAGGTGTGTCAAAAAGAAAGATCTCCATGGACATATATAGAATTTTAACAATTTCTTCTTCTGTCTTTCCATTATCTTCAAAAAATCCGGCATTTCTTTCCAACCACACCATCCAAAAAAATTGTCATAGGAAGCACTCCCCAAACCACTTTCCCTTTTCTATTCAGACCTTTTAACTGCCAACTAGACGGAAAAAAAAACCCATCGCAGACTTCGGGAAACACAACTGTAGCCCAAATATGTCTAACATTTTTGTCCACAGACTTCTAATGAATGCACGATGCAAAAACAAGTGATCAACCATTTCTACATAAAAAATACAATTAGTGCTTTTTTCAATCAAGCAACCCCTCTTAATTAAGTTGTCCCTGGTTAAACACTTGTTAAGAGATGCAGTCCAAACAAATAAAGCAACCTTGGTAGATGCAGCTATACACCGTATACTTGCCCGTGGGAAATTACTCCCCCCCCCTCCACCAGCTTGCTGTAAAGGAATTTAACAGAAAAGAAACCATCCTTGCAAAGAAGTAATCATCTACTTGCAAAGATAGAATATGCATGATTGGAGTTCTTCAACAATTCCATAGTAAGTTTTTCTTCTCTTTCTTTCTTTTTCTTTCCCTTCCCTTTCCTTTTTTTTCTTTTTTCTTTCTGTTTTATTTTTTTGTCTTTTTATATGAGGTGTGTGTGAGGCGCATGAGGCATATGCCTCTAGCACGCCTCATGAAAAAAGCGTATGAGGCGTATGCCTCAGAGGTGCCAACACTTCCAGGCGTACACTTCCCACGCCTTTAAAACAAACTGCAATTTCAAATCATGATGCCAAGACNCCCCCCGTGTAAAGGGTAAAAGAAAGCAACCAATAGACCCCAGCGTTGGATGGACTCTCATAAATTGGAAACATGTCCATCCATGGATTCTTGAGAACACTTCTATGAAACATTTCCTTTTCATCTCCTGGCTTTATTTTACATAAATGAACAGATAATGTACAACAAGAATGCCATTTTTTGTATCAAATGTTACTTAGTAACAAAAGCAACATTTTTAGCAATATATATAATGTTAGAATTTGAAAAATATGAACTAATTTTATTAGTACATTGAATAGATGTGTTCACGGGTCCATGTTTTCTCATCTTCCCCAGAAATAAAACACTAAATGTTGATCAGAAATCTAATAATGGAAACTGTTTTGATAGAAAATTAAATTAGTAAATTAAGCCACCCACATAGTGGATGACCTCCACAAGTTAAGATTCAAGCAAATATGGTCTCATGCAATCTGCAGATGCATGTCCAAAGAGTGGAAGTAACGAAGTTTGATATATGACTTCCCTTCATTTCCAAATGAAGGATACTACATGCTCAATGCCTCAACAATTAAGAGATTGACAAAATATTGATGTCTTTCTGAAACACTACCTCAACAATTAATAGAATATTAGAAGCATAACAACACTGTCACAACAGGGCAGATGCATCAAAAAATATTGAATCATGTGTTAGGCTGTTTGTTAGCTAGCATGCCCCCAAGTACAGATCAGATACAGATGGCCCCTAGCTCCTGGTTAGTGGTTGCAACCATCAGATAAGGTCAAATTTGTCCTTTGTTAGCTAGCATGCCCCCAAGTACAGATCAGATACAGATGGCCCCTAGCTCCTGATTAGTGGTTGCAACCATCAGATAAGGTCAAATTTGTCTTGATACATCCCTCCAATGCATAAAAATCTAACTTCTGGTAATGTCATAGGTCCAAATGTCTTGAAGATAAATAAGAGAGAGAGAGAGAGAGACGAAGAAAGAGAGAAAACTCTTCAACTCATCACTAAAAAAGGCAAGTGAATAGACATTGCTCAGAGGCACAACCATCACTACAAAGTCTTCCAAGGTTTCTTAGATAGATTTCTTAGAAACCATATAACCTTAGCTCTTGAGAGTCTCAAGTAGTCCCTCAGAATCATCTTACCACCACTAAAGACTACCAAAGAATAAAAGGAAATCACCATAGATCCTCACAGAAAAAAGGAAAAAGGAAGCATTAGTAATAGATGCAGTTTCAAGAAAATGTGAAGAGGCCATTTAACACTCAACCCAACTGTTCTCCTCTATATATCAGGAAGACTTACCAACCCACCTGCCACGAATAATGGTATAAGCACTTGTCGGACCACCATTAGTCGGTATTTTCCCCAATATGATCCTGTGATGAAATGTATATGTCAATTAGGCTTTGGTGAAGTCATATTTCATGGGGAATGAGATAATGAATAAGGATTTTGAACAGATACACCAGCCAAGTGACCTCTTATAACAACCAGCCTAGCTAGTAAGTCAATGCTGTCATCTTTCCAGAAGTTGGATAAGATATTCTTCGACCCCAACAATGACAACAACATACCCCTAAATTCTAGACTGAATACAGCAGCAAAGAAGCTTCTATTTCACCTTTCATGTCATCACCTAGGAAACTACAATTTACAAACTAAAAAAATAATGACCAGATAATTACATTCCGGTCTATAAGATAAAATTGGCGCTTTATTCATCAAAAAAACTATAAAACTGGCACTTTTATCAGCATGTAATGTAACACAAAACTGCATCAGAAGATAATCTTAAAATGAAGTAGCAATTAATAGAACTTCAGCACATCGAAAAGACAAATTCAGAAGTAGTTTTACCAACCATATCCCAGCTATCTAGGGTCTAAGGATGGGTAGACTGGATACAGTCCTAACCCTTGGCATTTTTATGCACAAACTGGCCGCTCTCTGACTCAAACTCACATTTCTCATGCTTGCCACCCGAGATTTTACCATTACACCAAGTAATGGCCCCTAAAATATAGCTCGTTAGTACTGGTGGTAAATTAGGTGGTAGCAATAGTGAGCATGGTGGATGTGGGCTAAAAATGGGGTATACTTTTATTTTTCCATGTTTTTAGTATTTTTAATATTTTCTCTTGACAAGTGTCAGAGAAAAAATACTTACAATTTTAGGTACAATTATGGTTTTCAGATCATAGCAATGTTTTCAAAATCGTGCAATTCACGATTTGAATCATATGATTCAAATCGAATCGGGGCTAAAATGATACAAATCGTATATATAAATTGTACGATTTGTAAGCAAATCGCTAGTGTAAATCATAAATCTTGATTCTTGGATGATTCATATGATTAGAGTTTGAAAGCTTAACTTAAGATTAAATGGCCATTGTTTCGGTGAAGCTCCAAACCTCCTCTACTTGTCTGCGTTGAAAGGTGAGAGATTTCTACTATTATCTGTACATGGTTTGTATTGTTTTGAGAGATTTCTACTGTTTTTATATTATCTATACATGGTTTTCTTTCTTTCTTTCTTTCTTTCTTTCTTTCTTCTTCCTCCTCCTCCTCTTCCTCCTTTCTTCTTGTCTTCTTTCTTCTCCTTTATTTCAGTTGCTTTTTTGAAATAAAAAGCAGGGGCTCCGCCCTATTTATTTCAGTCGGTGTTTTGGCATTAAAACAGGGACTCCCGCCCCATTTGTTTCAATCGTTTTTTGGCATGAAAACAGGGGCTCCATCCCATGTTTTTCATTCATTTTTACATGAAAGCTAGGGGTACCTAGTTTCGTAATATTTCCCCCTTGCTTCATAATATTTTATCTTGATTTTTTTTGCATAAAAACAGGGTCTCCACCCTTTTACTTTTCACCCTTTTTCCATTGCATAAACAGGGGCTTTTCCCCAATATTTTTACTTGTTTTCTAGCATGAAAATAGGGATTTAGTCCTGATATATTCCCCTCACCCTTTTTCTAATCACAAAACAGGGCTCCATCCCCATTTTTCATTCTTTTATACACATAAAATAAAACTGTATTATGCAAAAACAGAGATGAATTTGCACTTTGTAGGTTAAAACAGGTTACTTTCTATTGTGCAAAAATAGCTTCCTTTTTTTCCTTTTTGCTAATGTTAAAACATGTTCCATTCTATTATATTCACTCTCATTTTTTATGAAAAAACAGGGATATATTCTGTTTGTTCACTCTTAACAGGGTTCGTTTGTTTTCTTTCTTTCATTACTCATATTAAAACAGAGATGTTGCCCCATTCTTTCTTCTCTTCATTTTTCCCTTGTTTATATTTTCCTTCCTCCTTGAAATTAGATTATGATTTATGAAGCACTTAGACTTTAAAATTTGATTTTTTCGAATTGAATTAAAATCCATCCATAGTTCTATACACATGATATCTCTTTATATTCATTAATTTCAGATAAATTAATTTCTTTAGTTGTATAATTTTCATTTGTAGTGTTTGTCCCACTATTATATAAATTGTATGGATAATTATTAATTGATGACTTGTTGTTCATAGTTTGTTACTTTGTTGAACACTTGAAAGTTGAAAGTTAAAATTTAAAACAATAGAAACAAGACACTATACTTCTAGACTCTAGAAAACATAATGGTTCCTTTTAAAAAATTGTGGTTCATTCATATTTCATATCAAGATAATTAAAGATATTGCTTTTTATTGACACTAGTGTAACTATAACTCTGTCATTACTATATAGTTATAAGATGTTTATGGGTTAGAAAGCTTGTGCAAAGTCATTTTTTCTATTTTTTTGAAAGATTTAGGTATACTTTAGGGTTTTTAACAGCTTTTGAAAAAATAAGAAAAAATCTTACGATTTACGATACGATTCAAACCCCTTTACGATGTACGATACGATTACGATTTTCAGAACATTGGATCATAGATTAAGGTAAAGAAAATTAGAAATACATGATGTCATCCACTTAACTTCCCATCAAATGAGGAAAACAAATGTCTATACAAACCGGACAATTGCAAAAACAAAAGTTCAAAGGTTCAGCACTATGAACAAAAAAAGAATGTCATCCAAGGTGTATAGTTTATCCAATCAGTACAGCAGAATAATGGCCCCAACAAAAGAATCTGTTTTAGTAGACAAGTGTCAATGGTTTTAGAACTATAAAGATCATAAAACAATCATCCATGACAAATACAAATAGAATCAAAAGAAATGTGAAAAACCTGTTATCTGCCTGCACATGTACAGAAGGCCCAATGTATTTCACCCGATCCCCTGTAAACAAATTATAAAACACATAAATAGAACCATAATGCATGTTAAGAATTTTTTTGAGGTTTCTTTTTGAGAGAGAGAGAGAGTTATGAAATAAAGAAGCAGACATAAAGGAGTAAGCTGATGAAATTCTGCTCAGAGTCTCTAATATCTCTATTCTTTTTCTGGTAGTGGTAGGTAATGGAATTGACTAAGGAAAGATGAAAAAGAAAAGGAAAATAGAAGGTTATGGTAGGCTTAAGGGAAATCTATCATATTTCAACTTGAATCGATGCATTTTAGGAACATTGTTTCTTCTAAACTGCATAGGTGGTTAAGTAATTGGTTTGTTCTACTAGGTCAACAAGGTGTGAACCAGTTGTTCCTTTTAGAAGGTTAGTTTTCACTCAGGATAGACATTCGATATTGCAGATGGGAATGGTTTTCTTCTTTGTTTGAAAGCATGTGGGCCCCCCATCAGATGTGAAAAGCTTGTTTGCTCCTTTCTTCAGATTGCCAAAGAAAAGGGGAAGAATAATGTGGTGTTGTGTAAGGGCTGCTGTTATTTGGACTATTTGGGAAGAAAGGAACTCCAGATTATCCTCAGGATAGAAGAGGAACAAGGAAACTATTCAGGAGGTGATTTGCGTCAGGGTATTCCATTGGATTAAATCTTTGGATATCTTCAACAATTTTTCTATATATGATCTGTCAAGAAAGTGGAAAGAAATTGCTTTTTCATCCCCGATTCAGGAGGCTTCAGCTCCAGTTTGGTACCCTCCCCCAAGTGGATTTTACAAAATGATTTTTTATGGGAGTAGTATTGGCAACCCAGGGCATTCGGGTATTGAGGGTGCTTTAAGGGATGAGAATGGGATTATAATTGCCTTGTTCTCAGGCCCAATTGAAGAGGGTAATTCTCTTAGAGCTGAGATTTTGGCGACTTTAGAAGGTGTTCAAAGAGCCAAGGACTTAATGTTGAGGAAGTTGATCATTGAAGGAGACTCCAACCTGGTGATAGAATGACTGAAAGGAGATAAAAATGGTTTGTGGCTATACAGCAATGAGAAGAAGAATTCCAATGGCTGACAAAAGACATGGAAGTTAAAGTAGTTTGGGTTAAGAGATGTGCTAACTCCCTTGCTGATGGGCTAGCAAAGCAAGGGGTGAATAGGGAGAACTTGTTTCGGGCTCACATGTAACTTTTTCCGTCTTTTTCTTGCTTGGAGGGGATAAGAGAGGTTATCTTTTTCTGTCTTTTTCTTGCTTGGAGGAGATAAGAGAGGTTATCTCCTCCCTTTGTACACCTTTTTATTTATTAATGAAATCTTTTTTTATTGATCCAAAAAAAAATTCATATTCTGATTTGGTGTTTTCTGGAACATTATACACTGTATTATTTTTATGTTAAATTCGGATGAATTTTCTTTTCTTTTTTGAATGTAATTGGAAATTATTAGAAGCTATTTTGGAAGGTTAAAAAAGGAAATGTACTTAACAAAAAAAATACAAAAAGGGAAATATCTTGTTCATCACCTTCAATCTCCTCATAATCAAGGGGTTAAATCCTTTAACTAAATATTTGTTGTCATTTTAGTATGACATGAAGTTTCATCTTAATGAAGTTGTTCCTGCCCTTTCTCCCTAGGTAATCTCCTTTAAGTGTCTCAAAATAAGCTGTCACAAGCGAGATCATTTGTAGCGAAATTTAAGCTTTAAGAGACAAGTAAAAATACATTTTATCAAACTCTAATCTTTCGGGGAATTTAACATCATATCTGATTAACTTGGTAAGTTGGCTTGGTTCATGAAGCCTAGAAGTGCAGTAGATTCAGGAGTCATAGACTTAATTTGGGGAGCTATGTCACAATTTTTGAACCACATGATACACGAATTATAAATAGGTGATAATATTATGATCAGGAGCTATTCTTCACACATTTCAAAAAAAAAGATGATCGGAAAGTTCTTATGCTCCCATAAGCATGAATTAAAATACAAACAAAAATAACAACTAATCTACTAATACCAAAGCATAATTAGATATACTAAATTTTAAATCATCATCCTAAAGCACAAACACATGTTCCTCAGTAGCAGTATCATGAAACACTCCAGTGAGAGAATTGCAACATTTGCAATTTTGCAGCTCTACAATGTTTCATGGTACTGTACATGAGACCTGTCTCTGTACCCTAGAATGTTCTTAAATTAGTCATAATTTACTTCATTTCAAACCAGTCAGTCACTTGACTCAAAGGAATAAAGCAGTTATGACATGACCCATAGAAGTTGATCACTTGATTTGGAAGATTCAGTCTCTTGACTTAGATGAGGCATGCATATTTTGACTCTTTGCCATGACTTGGCTCCTCATCCTTGGGAATGGAGTCAAACTCAGAAAATGAAGAGTCAACTTCGGAGCTGGCAAGTTATGTCTAACAATATGACAAATTAGAATAGAGTTAAACTCTCCACTCTCTAGTATGTCTTAAGTTACTTCCACCTTCCTCCTATGATGACAGACATCAGCATGTTCTCAACATGATAACAATTTATGACAAACCTAAGCTTTAAGTGAATATGGCCAGTCATCCATCATGTGATGGTGGCACAACATAGATGGTGCTGATTCAGCTTTTAATATCTAAGTGTATTAATCAGTCAAAAACACATAAATTAATGCTCCTATGTTACTTGATGAAATTTTGGTTCATATTATTGTAGAGATCAATAAGTCTCCAAATGGAATGGATGAAGACTATCATATTGGTTCATATATACATGTATACATAAGTACATAGCAATTTATGTTCTATGTTGATTGATCTTTGAGCCAATTCTTAATTTGGGTTGAGTTTCAAAATAACTTGCCCCATTTGGTGACTTGGCATGCATGTTGAGTCAAGATATTCTAAACCCAACGTAATCACTTCGCAATACCATAAATCAATATAATACTCTAAACCATTCATTGGAGATCATCAAACTATATGACAAACTTTTTAGTTTTCATCAAGTAGATGGTCTTAGTAACATAAGTGTTTGCATGAGCATAACAATACAGGAACACTTTATCTCCAAATACAATGAATGGTTTAGAATATCATATTGGTTTATGGTATGGTCAAAAAATTAATGTTGGTTCATATATGACTATACATGTATATACATATGTTATGCAAGTGCTTAGTATAGTCAAGAAATTATTTAAGCACTAATGATTTAACAGTGGATATGGCTTTAAATAGAATGGATTAGTGAAACAGCTTTCATGTAGCCGACCCCATATAGTTGAGATACGGCATGGATGACACAAGTGCTTAGCAATCTAAGTGGCTGTTTGATAACAAATGAAATGGCTAATTGAATGGCTTATTGCTTTGTCATTTAATGGATAAATAATTAAATAATAAAATATTCAAGGGCATAAGAATCAACCAAACTTCAGCTTCACCATTAAGGAGCTTCGCAACCTCTTATGCACTAAAAGACAAAGTGATAATCATTCAGTTAAGCCACTTCAGCAGTTATCAAATGGCCCCTAAGTTGATTGTCCCTTGGTTTGAGTTGATTTTTTATTTGAGTTCAGTTTTCAGAATATATTGCCCCACTGGTGTCCATTTTGAGCCTAGTTCTCATATTTCAAACCAAGGGCCTTCAGAACTCCTCAACTTTTGAGACCCGAACAATCTGGCTGGATATGCAATTAAAGCCGGAGAGCACAATCTTCAGGAACTAAAGCTTTTATAATGTGCTAAAAATATTGTAAACCATTAAAATCCAAATATGATAACAGTATTAAGGGGAAAAAAGAAGGTTACCTTTTTTAAGTGGCCGTTTTGATTGTTGTGGAGGCTCAACAGCAGCTGACTTCACAGATTCAGAGGTTCCTTCAGATTCTCCAGAGACTCTCTAACAAAAATATCAAGAATAAGAAAAATACGGTGTTACTATATAATGTACTTAATAAACAACCCAATATCATTAACACCTCGATTTGACTACTGAAGGAGATCCATGGGGGCATGAAGTAGGATCATGGGCATATCTACATACATTAAGAAAGGCAAGATCACTGGAAACCAGCATGAAAACCTTGTTCAGATGGATTTCAAGATCAGCCAACTCTTCAGCAGAGTCAATTAGTAAAGGGAAGTGCCAACAGGGTAGACTTATGACAGGGTCTACCTTGGGAGGTGGGCAATTTTAAGGTCATTATAATTGCTTTTATATGTTTATGAGGTAAGATTATGGATGCAGCTACTCTTCTATGTTTCTGTTTTCTCTTATTTTAATAAAATCTCATTTGATCTGTTACTGATGAAAGCACCAGGAATGACAGTAAGAGATGGAAACATGGTGAAGTAGAAAAACCTGTAGTTAAGCCATCTGAAATGCTAATCACAACAGTTCTGCTTTTTTTATCTTCTCTATCAGAAGCTATTGGATGGTACAAGCATGTACTCAGAGATTAGGCAGGTTTTAAACATTCTTTTGTTCTCTTTTTGATAGCTCTTCAGAAAGGGAAAGGGGGAGAGAGAGAGAGAGAGTCTTTGAGAGGTTATTGCAAAGAGTGACCAACATACAGGCAAATAGACAAGCAGGTGGACATGCAGTCAACAGCAGCATTTACCGACTACTCTACTCATATGCAGTAGATGTTGTAGATACCACTTACCTTCTCAAACTCTTCCAGACTGTATGGAACAAGCTTCTTGAGAGCTTCAGCAGATGCCTGCAAATCAACTTCATCATCACTACTATCTGATTTCACCTCGCCACTGCTTGTCCAATCTTCTTCATTCCCTGCATCATTTTCATCCTCAACCTCTGATTCTGAACTACACTCTTCTCCTGATTCTGCATTATCATCATCTGATTCAATCTCTGATGTGCATTCCTCACCAAAATCCTTCACCAAATTTACAAGAATAGTGTTCTATGTTATTGTCCTTCTTTAATTTCTAAGGGAAATGAACAATGGAGATCTGAATTAAAATAAAATCTTAAAGGTCATTTCCTAGCTTACATAAGGAGCAAGAACATTGCTATCAAGAACCAGTAATGGAACTTGTAAGTCCCGTGCAAGTGCTCTAACCAATCGTTCTCGATAAAGCTCAGTTCCTGTAGACAACAACCATTATCCAAACAAAAGCTGAGTGACAATTCAATGGTAATATGAACTAGCATTGTACATTTACAGGATAACTGTCTATTGGCATTGGTCAATAACTCATTAAACAACCTGGGATGCTCTGAAGCAGTATTCTCCCACTTGAAGACTTCAAACGGGAACCATAAGCCATAGTAAACTTCTTATGTTTCAAATGGGAAGCAGCACATTCCACTAACAAACTTTTTGTGTGCTCACTGTAACAAAAAAAAAAACAAAAAACTTACAATTTTCTACTACAACAGACATGAATATAACAGAAGAAAACAAGGAAAAACAAGAAACATAATGGTGCAGTGATTACTGAATATAATAGGGAAAAGTTTCCCATGAAAGGGTAATTTTTTCCCATGGAACCACCCTCCGCAAGAACTCATTTCTAAACCGTTCCCTTCTGGACAGAAAAGGTGACTCCTTCTTTTTACTCTCAATAGATAATTTCTCTCTGTTGAGCCAATCCTTCTGATCTTGTTCCCCAAGCTGAGCATGCTCATCAAACTGTCTCACATCTGCTCTGACATTTTTCTGCCGTGACTTCCCCTTGTCAAAGTTAGCTTGGTCTTTTATTGGTGCGCAATTATCTTCACTTGCATTTCTTCCGTCACCTTCAGAGCTGTAGAACCTTGATGTGCCATGCCCCCAGGAGGTAAAGAACTTCCCATGGAGAACTGTACAACACCGAATGGGGACACCAGGCGATGGGACAGGATTCGGCAGAAGATTTTGGAACAGCCTATGCCGTGGGTGGTGGTTTTCACATGCAACTGTTTTGTTATAAGACCGAGAATGGGAGAATTCCCGCTGGTTTGGCCTGATCAGATATTTGGATGGCTGAAATGCGTAATTCCATCTCTGATATCTACACTTGAACCTCCTTGCGTACATTGCAACTTGTTATTTCCAATTATTAAGAGTCTAGGAGAGCACAAATCATGCTCCCATTAATTCATGTAATTACCTGACAGATAAAAAATGCCCATAATCACCATATTGCTTGAGTAGAAAGCTAGTGGAAAAACAAATAAACCACCAAGCACTGGAACAGGAATTCCAAGTAGTTTTTCTTAGATACAATGGCGTTAAGCCGTGAATATGAGGAAATTCTAAGCTTCGACACTTTACAAACCAAATCTTGAGTCGAACTTTTACTTGTATGATATACATTCAGGGGAACAATAATTAGAAGGGAAAAAATAAGCTTACATAAAAAGAATACAAACAAATATATTCAAAGTTCAAAACATTAATAGTTACAGTGAACCAAACAACAAACCTGAAATTTTAACACTAAAGTAAACAAAGTGCGAGCTAAAACCTTTGGCATTCCGCCACGAACACGCATCTAATAAAGTCGCAAGATTTTTTTTAAAGGACATTGTAAATAGAACCGCAGGACAGAAAAGTCCAAACTTAGACTGATTGGAAGCTCCAAAGAAAAGGGATAAGAAAACAGAAGTCCCACTGGTTCTATTTGAATTTTTCAAGCCTATTATGGATTTCACCATGAAAACAAGTAGGGGAGTCTGATGTTCGGAGGAAGACGATGCCAAAAAGTGCAGAAAAATCGAAACTCAAACTGAAAGGCGTGACGAGAATACAGATTTTCGAATTAATCAATACACAGATCGGAGGCGCGAAGACGGACCTTCTTAGGGTTTGCACGAGCTGAACAATAGAGAACAACGAATCTAGTAATTCTGTTCCTGTCGTAGTTTACGGACTTCTCTTGGTTGCAAGTATCTGATAGGTTTATAGGGTGGAAATTGAGACTGAAATCCCTTTGTTGGCAAACTCTCGCCAGATCCTTCAAGTTTCGCGATTAGCGGATACAGCGAGTTAACGACCCCTAAAATCCACCGCGTGCGTTGTTACCTGTGCGCGGGTGGCTTGCTAATGCGAACCCTTGCGGCCTTGCGGTGATCCTGTCCGAGACTCCGAATCCGGATCTGGTCATATATGTCTCAGATTTTGGGTAAAAATCTTTTATATATGGGACTTCTCACAAATCAAATGCAATTGCACGATTTAATCCGAACCTGTTGTCATCTACAAGGCACTACAGCCGTGCATCGGGAATATCTCAATAGTTTTCAATGTGATTGTAAGGCACAGCTGTATTTGTTTTCTGATCCTCCTCATAGAGTGCTTCGCACCAACTTCACAAACCAGCCCGGTGCGCGTGATTTTGTCTCTGGTTCATCCCATTCCCGCATCCCACTTTGCATTGAATGTTGGTTCTATCAAAAAAACAGAAACATCTTTCAATGAATGATAATATACAAGCTTGGGAGAAAGTAAAACCTTTGTAAATACCCTCAAATTGAGGACACCCAGTGCAGTGGGATTCTCTGAAATCAAAAACTCTACATGCACTTTTGCATGGGAATCCAGAGTCCACGCATATGGTCACACATTTGGGAATATCTTCCTATGAATTTAACAAATTTGTAAGGGACATATTTTCAATAGGTTAAATACCTTAAGTACTCCTATGATTTATGGTAAATGGACAAAAAGTTAGCCTATTGTTTAAAAATTATTTAAAGACCCTTAAATTTTTTGGCAATGGACAAAATCCTCCCCTACTATTGGCACCGTTACAATCCGTTCACATGTGGTGTCACGTGATTTATATATTTTTCTTTAATTCAAAAACTACACTTTTTGCGGTCAATTTTTCCCTTCATTGTTCTTTAAATTTTCAAAACAAACCCAACTTATTGATAAAAGAACATTACATGAACTAGGATAAATTAACATGAAAGATGAAGGGTTCCATCCTATTGTGGAAAGGGATGCTCGATAAGAAGAAACCACGAATAAGCCTTGCAATTACAATGAACATAATTGTATTTGAACTCCTTCAACACAAAACCAATTTATGTTTAGAATGCATGTACTAGAGAATTTACACCTCCAGGCATCAAATCCCACGATAAAATTTACAAATTCATATGAAAAGTTAAGAAGCCACAAAATATTCACCTGGCATGTCAATAGGCAATAAAAATTATCCTCTAAAAAATAAAACATCCAAACATGCCCATAATTTATTAGAACTAATATTCAACTATGAGAACAAGGTTTTACTTGAACACCAATGTAGCTTTCAAGGTCTTTACCGTGGACCTGTTTAAACTTTGGTATTGGCTTACAAAGTCCAAAGCATAAGATCTATATGGTGATAAAACCTATAACTTAATTAAAACTACTTTCAACCCCAATTCCATCTCCATATACAATTAGACAACTTATGATGCATGCTGGAATCCAATGAATATTAAACTAAATTGCTTCATCAATTGATCTATATTAATAATTGAAATACTTTTCAATGGAGCTACTCTTTTGCATCTAAAATTACAGGATTCCTCTAGCGAGTGAAAAAAATCATTTTGAATTGTTGAACATCATATTTACAATAGGAAATGCTAAAACCCGATACACAATATATGAAAAATGCTTTGCCTAGTAACTTGATGAAATGTCTATATCATTTTCTACATGTCATTTAATCAAAGAAAGGCTATGAGTATCCAAATTTATAGAGAAAAATAAGCATGTGTAATATGTTAAAGTCATATTGTCTTGCTACTGAAAATGCCCGAATTCAAACTTTTACTGTTGAGCATTAAAGTTATATTGTAGAACCGGGAAAATTAGCGACCTGTCAAGCTAAATAAAGTCCTAAAGATATCATACTCTCAAGTTTTGGATCAAAACCATATTACAAAAACCACAAAAGACAATCTAAAGACGTTGTTCATACCTTGGTTGCATTTAAGATCTCTTCGGATTTCTAAATCGTGAGGATCTTCTTCTTCCTAACCAAGGGTGACAGTCTAATTTGAGAAGCGAAGCGACAAGGAAAAGATAGTGGTGAGTTCAAATATGGTCTATGAGATGCCTTACTATTATTGGGAAAAAAATGATCAATTGGGTTATATTTTGAAATTATGAGATGGCAACATCAATATTTTGTTTTTTCCATCAAAATTTATCAACGATGTCCATTGTCAAAAAACTTACAGGTACTTTAAGTGATTTTTTTAAATAGCTGGGTAAGTTATTGTCTATTTACTAAACCATAAAGGTACTTTAAGTATTTAACCCTTTCGGCTCAATTAGAAAACGAGTTTATATATCGGATTCAAATTCGGCTCAAAACTTGATTTAAACCAAATCGGGCCAAGCTTTTCATGAGTTGAGCTCAAATAGCTCATGAAAGACCCACCCCTACTTTTAGGAGATATGGGATCTAACAACAATAAATGTATTAATTGTGCAGAAAGATGAACAATGGTTTGATTTCAATATGTTTGTTCGGGATAAAAATGCATCGAAGATTAGGGTTAGGTTGTTGACGACCTAGTGATTGAGTCACTAAATAAAAACATTAAGATGGTCACTCAATGCATGCATTACATGCACCATACTTGTCCCCATCAGTGAGACCACTCTTATGTACATTATGTATTACCAAAATGAATTGGATTTGTTTCACTTTTGTGTATTTTCATCTAGCTTATGACATCCTATTAGACGTGTATAAACACACCCATGCATATAAACCACTTGCGTATAATGCACATGATGGGTTATATGTATGTATTTTAGTGCGGTTTTGTAGTCATTTTGATGGAAGTGTAAACATACTTCGAAATTTGAGGTAAATTTGATAACTTTATAGCATTTCCGTGAACTCATAGCATGAAGTTTACTTCCATTTTATCAGAGTAAACTTTTGCTCTCAGGCATATTCATCTTCTGTGGGACTCCACCCGAGACAAATGACCGGTGAAGATTGAAGAGCCTGAGCTTGATAGGAGTGGTGAATATTGTACATAGGCATCTTCATCTTTTGCAGGACTATTGCAACTAGGCCTAATGGTAGTTTTGTTGAAACTAGATAATAGGTTGTATCTAAATTTATCTGAACTAGATTTGGAAATATGAGTATAGCTTAGCAAGCGCCTATGACACCATTGAACTAGGGCTTTGAAATTGTGACACCTGGCATCTCATGCAAATTAAGTGCAGCCTCTTGACAACTGGGCAGCTCGGGAAGCTCGGCAGAGCTTGCCATAGCTTGCAACTTACAGACAGCTCGACATGACTCGCCACAGGCAACTCAGCATGGCTCGCCACAGGCAGCTCGGTAGAGCTCGCCACAAGCAGCTCGGCATAGCTCGCCACAAGCAGCTCGGCATAGCTCAGGGAGCTCGGTATAGCTAGGGGCAGCTCGGCATAGGCAGCTGGCCACTCCGCAAGCAGCCAGACGTCTTACGAAGAGCTCGCCACTTAGGGGCAGCTCGGCACTTACAGGTAGCTCGCCATAGGCAGCTCGCCCCAGGTAGCTAGCCACTCCACAGGTAGCATGGTGTCTTACGAAAAGCTCGCCACTTAGGGGTAGCTCGACACTTACAGGTAGCTCGGCACTTAGGGGTAGCTCGGCGTATCGCAGGAAGATCTCCTGCCTGACAACCGTACCTGACAGATCCGGAGACCTGTGCCCACGTCTCTTGCTAGGCAGCGCCGTGCCTGCCAATCCTAAGAGTTGTCCCTTGACTGGCAGGGCCGTACTCTGTAGCAGCCGCCTACACCCGCCACCTTAGCTCTGGCAGTAATGGCTGCAGAGAGACAGAGGCGGTTACGCCTTACTTGACAGAGGTTGTTACGCCTGATTTGACAAGACACCACTATATAAAGACTCCGACCTCCAAAGACAAGGGGAGATAATGAAAAAATGGAGATAATCCATGCTCTCTAGCTCTCTCATTTCTCTCAAAGCTCCCTACAATCAGAATGCTAACTTAGGCATCGGAGAGTCCCCGCCGGGAAAATACCCCTGAGTCATCTGATTCAGTTCTCGCAGGTTCCTCAGCTCCCGTCGCCTACAAAGAGGAGGAAAATATGGAGTTCTCACAGGTCCCTCAGCTCCCGCCACCTACAAAGGAGAGGAGATCACCTCATGCAGAGGGCAGTTGGGTTGCGCTACACTAGGGAGCTCCACCATCCCCTGAGTTACAGGCCGCCTAGGAGCAAGTCAAATGACGAGTCCACCCAGGTAGCTCACCGCCAGGGAGCTCGTCACCAGGTAGCTCACCACCAGGGAGCTCACCACCAGGGAGCTCACCACCAGGGAGCTCGTCACCAGGGAGCTCGTCACACTCACCAGGTAGCTCACCACCAGGGAGCTTGTCACCAAGTAACTCACCACTAGGGAGCTCGTCACACTCACCAGGTAGCTCACCACCAGGGAGCTCGTCACCAAGTAGCTCATCACCAGGGAGCTCACCACCAGAGAGCTCCATCATCCTCTGAGTCACAAGCCACCTGGAAGTAGGTCAAATGACGAGGTACTTAGCCAAAAAAATTGATACATCAATTTGTATTATTAAGCATAATTATTTAATTAGTATAAGGTCCCATGGTATGCATGTGTGCAATGTAAAGATAAAAGATAAGTTGATGTTATATAATTAAATTTAAATTTTATGACCTATACAATAATAAGGCAATTATCTGTATCTATTTTGTATGTATTTGTATTTGTACTCTTTCCAAACTAAGCCTTAATATTTATATTTATTATTTTATCTATGATGTTACGATTTGAGCCATGCCTCATACGGTTAGTGAAAACAATTCTCTTTCTGAGTTGATTTTTAAAACCTATGTGTAGGGTGAAGATGCAATAGTTCCTTCAATTTGCCTTAAAAATTGGTAAATTACATGAACCCTCTTGTACTATGGATGTGTAGGGTGAAGACGAAAGAGTTCATTTAATTTGCCTTCAAAAAAGGATAAATTACATGGACCCTCATGTACTATGGGGTTAGTGGCAAAGACTTCCTATATTTTATTTTTTGCAACAAAGACCCCTTAAACTTTGACTGTTAGACAAGTACCCCTTTGCTGTTAAGTCAAAACTATTAAATTACCAAAATACCCTATTAAACTTTCTCTATTTTCTTTTTGTTGCCATCACTTGCTTCCCACTCTTCACAAGTTAAAACAACACTAGCAAGACATCTATGAAATTCCAATCCCTCCAAATCCTTATCAACTAGGCCACTTTCAATCCTCAAGCATTACCTAGAAAAAACATAAAAGAGCATATCTCTAACGTTTAGGAGCGTCAAAATGGAATTGAGATCTGTTTCTCACATAGGGCACCTCACAACGACCTCACAAGCACATCCTACTATGCATTGGGAACATCTCTTGTAAATAATAACATGTAAGTACAAGAGATTCCCAATGCATGGTGGGATGTGCCTGTGAGGTCAATGTGAGGCACCATGTGTATAGAGCAGATTCGGTCTCGTCAAAATGTTGCCCCTGCATTGCTAGCAAGAGCTGAGAGTAGTTCATTCTCACTAAAATGTTGCCCCTGTAGTGCCGTCTTTGCTAGTGTTTAGTAGCATTGCGTTCCTTGCTGGCACAACCACCAGCAACACCATTATTCATAACAACGAAAACAACAACCTGGTTAATGGGAGTTCACAAAGGGGCGCCCCACAATGCCACATAGCACATCCCCATCTTGTATTGGGAACATCTCTTGATAACAAGTACTAAAGATGATGAGACATCACTGGGAGATGTTCCCAATACAAGGTGGTGATTTGTTGTGGTGCATTGTGGGGCGCCCCTTGTGGGGTGCAGATGTGAACTCGATCAATGGTGGCAACAACCTTCCTTTTCTCGCTACCAGCCAACTACCAGCTAGAGCCACTCTTCAAAAACGCATATTCGGGACAATCACTGTGATCGACAACGGAATAATTGAAGGGCACAAGCTGGGGGTCTTCCGTGGTAGGGATAATCACTCTTCAGAAGCTTATGGCACTGCTCCATGGTGATGATCATCAGGATGACACCGTTAGCTTTTTTCGGTGTCCACCGCCCTAGAGTCTCAGATTGCTATAGTTGGAGGCACTAACAAATATGAGAATGCAAAAGGATACGCCACAATTTAGACCCTTCATCAGTTTGATTAGCACACCACCAATGGCATCAAAACCTGTTGGAAAATAGTAAATAAGGCAAAATGGAACTTATCAATAATCGCTTTCAAAATCGAGAACTTGCAAATTGGTAGTGTTGCAGAACTTTGAAACTGAGGACTTGTAGAGAGAATGAGGGTTGAGTCATGCCACTTGGTCACTCTCCTTAAAACTGCATTTGCCCCTACAGTGTAGTTGGGTGATTGCAAGTTGGTCACCAAGATAAAACAACCCACATGCCACTAGTAGGTGTGCACTCGCTTACCAGACTTACACGAACCACAGAGAATGATGCTCAGAGAAGAACAATTGGCAGAGAGGAGAAGGCTATGTTGAGTGCACTAGTGTGTGTTTATGGGTCGACCAACACTTCTTTTATAGAGTGTTCTCAGTCACCCGAATGGATACAAAAGTGTCATTTCAGATAGAGGCCTCTTCAGAATAGTGCACATGTTCGAAGAGTTTAAAAAAATAAATTTGAAATTTAAAAGTCAATAGTTTAATCCGGTCAAAAAAACTATTTGGTGTAATTGGGTGATTGCAAGTCAGTCACCAAGATAAAACAACCCATATGCCACTAGTAGGTGTGCACTCGCTTACCAGACATACGCGAACCACTGAAAATGATGCTTAGAGAAGAAAAATTGGTAGAGAGGAAAATACTATGTTGAGTGCACTAGTGTGTGTTTATGGGTTGACCAACACTTCTTTTATAGAGTGTTCTCAGTCGCCCGAATGGATACAGAAGTGTCATTTCAGATAGAAGCCTCTTCAGAATAGTGCACCTGTTTGAAGAGTTTTAAAAAATAGATTTGAAGTTTAAAAGTCAATAGTTTAATCCGATCAAAAAAACTATTTGGTGTAGCGCGCGTAAACATACACGCCTGCACTTGCACACCCAATTAGGCCCAACTTGGCACACACATGTGAAAAGCACCCCCAACCCCCTCACATGCATGGGAACATCTATATTGCTTCCATTATTTGGATCCCTAACCATAAAGAGAGTAAATCCATAGATATACTCCAAATCAACTCATTTTCCAAGCAATATGGGACAAGGAGTCTACCCATGCATTCAAAGGTAGAAAGAGAAAAAAAACAAAACTAAAAAGTACAAAAGAATGATGAAAAATTTTTAAAATTTTGAATCTCCATCCAACAAAACCATGCTCGAGATTAACATATTCCTTGCACATTAGTGTATTTGCTTCCCTAATATGCTTGAATTGATTCTTTAATATTGACTTGGTTATGACGTGTTGGAGGGAAGAATAGGTCTCTACTTAATCCATGAATTCCATGAATTCAGACCCATATTTATCCACATAAAACATAATTTGGTATTGCCGATAGTTGCCCAACTTGTCAACTTTGCAGTCAAGTGTGAAGGGCTCCATAACAATTGATAGTTTTACATATGTTGATAATTAAGAAACTTTAATTTATCTTCATATATGCAACATTACAAATAGAGGTGTAAATCGGGCTATGACGCGGTTCGATATGATGGTTCATGGGCTGTGTCAGGCTCGATGATCACGTGGGTCGTATTGGGTTTAGGGTTTTATGTCCATGGGTCATGTCACCATAGTCCAGTTCGCGGTCTGGCCCGATACAACCCGCAATACAACCCATATATATTATTTATAATATAATATAAAATATATGATATAAATTATAATTATATAATAATATATTAACAAAATAAACAAATATTTTTAATTTTATTATACTAATTTATTTAATTATCGTATATATAAACAATTGTATAGATCAAAATTCATATAAAATTAAAATTTTAAGTATTTTTTTTAAATAAATAGCTTTGGGCCTTTGGCGCAGTCCACGGCTCGGCCTGACCCAAAGCTTGGCCCACGAACTAGCCTGGCCTGTGACATGGCACGACACAATACGGGCTTGGGTCGTGGGCTATGCCGTGTCAACCCCCCAAGTTATCCCAAGGGGGGGCGACCTGTAGTATACACAAGCCATGTCGTGCTGACCTGTTTTATACCTCTAACTTTAAACAATCAAATGAGAATATTTTTTGAAGTTAACTGAACAGATGGGGTCTTTATATAACGGTCAAAGTTCGATGGTCTTTGTCACCGAACACATGAATGTGTTTGATTGCAATGCAATTTTATTTGTAATAACATAGATGCATGGTAATGCAAATGTAAAAAATGCAAATTCTTATTTAATTTTATTTTGGATTTTAGTTTATTCTGTTTCATATCTTAATTTAATTCATTTATATTGCAGTCAAACAAAATATGCTAAAATTTGAAAAAAAAAGATCAAAATTTACATTCAAATCATTTGCACTATCATAATTCTGCATCAGTGTAAAACACAAACACAGCCTAAATAGTACAGCGGGTCCGTATAATTTACTTAAGAAATAAAAAAGTTGCTTCAATTTATTTAATCTTGACCCTGACCCTTTTGACCCACCCATTCCAGGAGTGGGTCATACCCAATGGGTCGTGATGGGTCAGGGTCAATTGGATCAAGGAGAGGGTCGAGAGAGGATAAGGGGAGAGGGTCGAGAGGAGAACACTGTTACCTGCAAGGCTGCAACTGCAAGCCAGAACAGTCAAAGCGAACAAAGTTCTTTCGTTTTTTGCCACCACTGGAGCTGTCACGGCTTGAAATTTGTTCCACGATTGAAGATTAGCCCTAAGGGCAGGGTCGAAAGCTGTTAGGGTTTCTGCGGAGATCCGCTATTGAAGCACTTGTTCAAATCGAGAGCAATTTCAGTTCTCTCAATTCTACGTCAGTTCCGCCATTGAAACAAGTTTATCCTCTTAGCTTCAACGCCACTGTTCTCATCGCTACTATTCCTGACTCGTTGAACAAGGTCCAAGCAGAGGTGGCGTTTGATGTCTATGCGGAGATCCATGGGTAGGCCTTTGAGAAGAGCTTCTTCATCAACTTCCCGAGTTGCAACCCATTTACATTAGTCGTGCCTTCGTACGGACTGCCTTAGTTCCCGGGGTAGCTGTCTGTGACGCATCCATTGCTCTGTATCTGTTCGCTTTATCCTCCACTCTTCCAATCGGGTAGTTGTTCTTGCAGGTTGGAAATCAGCCCAATTCTAATTAGTTCTAAGTTAATTAATTACATATATCTTGGGTATATATTGATTGGTTCATCAGTTAGGTGATTAGATCGGTTTTGTATAGTTTCTAAGCATTTTTGTTTGTTATACAATTGATGGTCTGTGCAACATTGTACATTGAAATTGGATTCTTCTTCCTTTCTTTCTTTCTTTCTTTCTTTTGTGTGTGTGTGTGTTTTTTATTTATTTTTTATTTTTGTGTTATACTATCCTTCCCTGATCTATTAGGGATCCTTAGATCCCAACAAAAAATGAGTTTCTAACCAAAATTAACCAACTATCCTACACCTTATTTTTCAGCAAGTACTCTTTAATTAGTTTCTTCCAGCAAAGGCAACACACTTTTCTTTCCCCAGGATCTTCTAATGTGTTTAAGCCTTATGAGATATCAGTGTTTCAAGAAAAAAAAACATATGAGTTAAAATGGCAGGGAGTGTAGAATTATGTGAAAAAAAGAACAACAATTTTATTTATAGTATGGTTAAATTACTCATCATATAACAAGAAATTGAAAGTAGTAAGGGCTTTCCTACAAATCCTTCTTGAAAATTAGAAAGTTCTTAATATAAACCAAGACCTCAATGAGTATAGGGCATATGAGGCCAAAGGAGAAATCACAGATCGGTATGGGACCTTTACATTGATATCTTGTAGGGCATCAGTCAGAAATGGTACAATCCCCCTTCCATAATCTGTCTTCATAAATGGGCACCACTTCTCTCCATCCAAAGTTTTGGATAATTGCTAAGATGGGTTGAACTTGAGAGGAGTCACTTGGGGCTATTCTAACAAAATAAGGAGTTTGGGTGGAGGAAAGAAAAAGGGCTTGTGGCAGAGAATGAGATTATTGGCACATGAGTTTTGTTTCCAATATCTGCTACAAAATCTGCCCGTGCAGATCTCTGTGGCTCTAATATAGCTTGCACTCCAACAGCTTTCAACAATTCTATAGCTGCAAAGGAATAGAGAGAAAATGGAAATGAAAATTGTTAGTAAGTGTCTATCATGAGGGAATTGACACATTGAAATATAAATCATCTACCAAACAAAATTTGGTTCAGATGGACTATGTCTCACTAAATCCATTACAATCTGAAAGCGACAATAATGCTATAATTTGTTTGTAATAAACCTTTACCAACTTATCTTCAACATCAATCAGTTAAGAAATTCTAAACACTTTCATTATGCTTCTTATTATAGTCAATTTCATAAGCAATAAAAAAAATTTCTACCTAGATAAATTTTCAACCATTGGTTATTGGTCTAGAAGTTAAAACAACCTTCCTCATGGAGGCCATAAAACTTCAAATGAAATTGATCTTGTGGAAATATAATAATAATTGACATGAATGACAAGCTAGCCTGATCTAGATCCTGAGTATCTTAAGTGAGATGGGATTAAGCTTTATCATGATCCATGATCCAGTTAAGCCTAGCTGGATTTTGAAGCTCTAGTTTGAAAACTTATAAAAGGTAGTTTTGTACTCTTGAAGAGGATCTGATGCCCTAAGTTTGTCTGTTTTTTTCTGTACTTTATGAAAATGGTGTTGTTGAATAAGATTTGCTCAAGAATATATATATATATATATATATATATATTGTAGCACGGATCCACATACTTAGAAGAAAGGTTTATTGATGATGCTTTAATTTTTCTGCAATTTTTGGATTAGTATACAAATAGATATTTAAGGTCAAAGTTGTGGATTTTTTTTTGTTGGAACCTTCCCAAATTGAACTGGATTGGATTGACTCGAACCATATAAGACAAATTTCTGCTATTTGTCTGCATAATGTTTGCAATTTTCTGGTATTTTTCTGCATTTTCTGCTGTTTTTCTGCAATTCCTGTAATTTTCTTCAATTTTCTATAATTTCTGCTATTTTTCTGCAATTTTATGGTATTTTTTTCTGCATAATATTTGCAATTTTCTGCTTGCTTAATTTATCTTATATGGTTTTCCTTTCAAACATTAATTTTCTCCTTGCTTACTTAGTTTGTCAACTATGATGTAGCCATCTTTACCATGCTAAATTTTGATACTATTGGGAGGTTATTTTTTTGATGAATACTATTGGGAGGTTCTTAAAACATTATATATGTTATTTTCTGCTCTTTTTTGGTATTTTTCTGCAATTTTTGTTATTTTCTGCATTTTCTGCAATTTTATGGTATTTATCTGCAATTTTCTGGTATTTTCTTAAATTTTCTACTATTTTTCTGCATTTTCTAGTATTTTCTGCAATTTTCTGCCATTTCTGCAATTTTCTACTATTGTTCTGCATTTTCTACATTTTTCTAGTATTTTTTCTGCAATTTCCTGCTATTTTCTTCAATTTTCTACTATTTTCCTGCATTTTCTACAATTTTCTGTTTGCAATTTTCCGGTATTTTTCTGCAATTTTCTGCATTTTCTGCAGTTTTCTGGTATTTTCTTCAAATTTCTACTATTTTTCTGCCTTTTCTGGTATTTTTCTTTTTTTTTGCAATTTTCTTCATTATTTGTGAATTTTCTGATTAATTTCTGCATTTTCTGGTGTTTTCATGCATTTTTTGCAATTTCTTGTATTTTTTTGCAATTTGCTGCATTTTGTGAATTTTCTGATTAACTTCTGCATTTTCTGGTATTTCGGGTATATGGGTCAACCTGATCCGTATATACCACATGGCAATCTTGGGAGGGTTGTTTCTATAAAAAAGTTGTTATTTTCGGGTATACGGGCTGGCATGACCCGTTTCTGCCATGTGGCATCATTGAGAGGTGTTTCATAAAAAATGTTATTTTCGGGTATATGGGTCGATCCAACCCGTTTATACCATGTGACAGTCTCGGGAGAGTTGATTCTCTCAAAAGTTGTTGTTTAGGGTATACGGGTTGACCCAACTCGTTTATGCATTTATATGCGATGGTTAGACCTGTTCATGGGCCGGGTAGCCCGATGGCCCGGCCCAGCCAGGCCCGCACCCTGGTCGGGCTTGGTCATGTAATTAGGCCCATGGGCCTAACACAGTAAGCCCGACTGTGTTTCGGGCCGGGCTCGGGATTTGTCAAAAAAGCCCGGCCCGACCCGACAGCATTATATATTTTATAAAATATATAATATGTATTTTATATATTATATAAAATATTTAAATAATATAATATTTATTAAAAAATATATTTATAATTTAATATATACATTTTTTATTCTTTTCTTTATAATCTTTCTCTCTCTCTCTCTCTCTCTATTCAGCCGCTAACAGTATGGGCTAAATTTCGGGTTCGGGCCCAGGCCCGGGCTTCGGGCTTTTTACGAGGGCTGGGCTCGGGCCCAAGTTATAGGCTCGATGGTCGGGCCGGGCTCGGGCTCGGGTCTTAGAAAATTCTGTTAATACAAAGTGAAAGCCTGGTCCGGCCCGGCCCGACCCATGAACAGGTCTAGCGATGGTAGGTGGGTTAGTATAGGTGAGGGTGGGCAAGGGTCATATGAATGGGTCAAGTGGGTCAATATGGGTGGGTTATGAACCTTTAACAAGCATTGATGATGGGTCATGGTGGGTCAAGATGGGTGGGTTGGTATTCAACCCTTACCCAATCCAACCCAACCCACCCATTTGCCACCCCTTGCAACCCAAGTCCCAAGAGTTGTTTCATGTCGTTTAATTCCTCGCCCAAATCAGTCTGAAGGCCGCAGCTGAGTTTGTTTGGCCAAAGTCCTCTACGTACTTCACTGGCAGATATCATACAGAAGGTATTCTCGACCCACTGCTATTTGTCTGTGTCTCTGTAAGCTAGACGCTCACTTCAGGGTTTGTGACAGCTAACAGAGCCCATTTCTCACGCTTCTTCATCTTTCAAGGTTTCTGCTTAGCTTAATCACTTGTTTATCATGAATAACCTTTTTCTTTATTTTGATTTTGCTGAAGACGAATAGAGCTCTTTTGTTAGGGAGACGCATTATCTCCTTGGCTCCTTCTATCAATGGTTATATAATCTAAATTTAATTGGGGAATCAAATAAACATCTAATGGTTCTTAGCACTAGAAAGTTGCATAGAGCAGTAGAGTGATTTTTTCTAGCTGCTGTTGTTTTCTCAGTGTTTGGTGAATCCATCCCCACTTCTGCACTCTGCTCAAATGAGAACTACTCTGGACTGAGAGGTGGTCAGTCACTCATTCTTTGTCGTCATTCAGTGTTAGTCTTCAATCGTCCGGAGTAGTCTTTATGGTCTTGGTTCATTGTCTTAGGTGATGCATCACTTTAGATGCTTTGAAAGAGTTAAATTCAAACATTATTTATTCAATTTCCAAAGTTTTTGTAGTTTACTTGACCCAAGCACCCATGAAACGGGGCAAATATTTACATAAATTTCACTGTGAAGGGACTCCTAATTTATATTTATGAATTACATACATACCAAAATATTTCTCATTATATTTTACACCAATTACTTATATATTTTGACATTCAATATCATTTTTAGGGATCAAACAGGGGTAATGATGGGAAAAGTAATTTTAGGCGTGCCAGGACCATGGGCTGAGAATAATCTTGAATTGTCAGATCATTACACAACAAAAATTGGTGGCTTACCAGTAAGTAGCTTTTACACAGCAATAAAATAGCTGATAAGATCAGTGATTTGTTGTCTTTTGATGATGAATTATAAAAGTATCAATATGCCCTTTTTGACAGGACTGGCCAATTCCAGAGTTGATCCATCCTAGTCTGCTTGAATGTGGTGCATGTGGAAGTAATTTATGTCTTGTTGCACAGGTTTCTCTTTACTCATCAAATAATGTAACTATTGTAAACTATTGTAATTATGTCTTGTTGTTCTTAAAAAAATATAGCTATTGTAAGCTAACTGGGCTCAGAATGAGCAAAGAATAACATAATTGTTGTCGGTTATGCAGATATATGCTCCTATTTCAACCAATAGCTTGAGGATTGAAGAGCGTACACTCTACATCTTTGGATGTGTAATGTCAAAATGTGGGAATAGTTCCCATAGGTCCTCTACTGAATAATCTTTATTTTCTATTAAACTCACTGTTATCACTGTTTAAATTTTAAAATAACTATTGTTCCGTTTCTTACTTGTCTCTTTCTTCTCTGTTATGTCATTTGTTGTGAAACTATGCAGCTGGCGTGCTCTACGGGTTCAAAAGTCTTACAGTGGGGAGGAACCAGCTGCTAACTGCCAAGAAGTGTCTTCATTGACCACATGTTCTGGAACAGCTTCAAATTCTAGCAACTGGTGGGAGGATGATTTATGGATACATAATTCTGGAGCAGATAATGTTGGAGACTCTGAGGATGTAGATCTGGAGGACTTGGGCAAGGCACTTGCTGAGGCTGCATCCCTTGCTTCTCACTCCAAGAAACAAGACAATTGTCAGAGTCCTGAGTCTGTTGAAAAATGCTCATCGGTTAGGCCAAGTGCAAGGTTGATAAATGCCAGCACACCAGGTATTTTGTAGAAGAATTTTTTAATGTTGTTATCATTATATAATGGGAATATGTTGCTCAGGTTCTTCAAATAGGTATTTAACCTATGTGAAGGTTTGAATATTTTATGTAAATGCCATGTCCATATAATATCACATAGTAGGTTATTGTCCATGTTGAAGTTTGACCTGCCATAGAATTCTGTCTTGTTCGGTGACTGTAGAGTAAAGTAGACAGCAAGAAGTAGGAGARGAAAGAAGAAAAGAGAGAAGAGAGAAAAGAGAGAAAGGCTGGTTCGAATTAGGGAAAAAAGTTAATCCCTTGATTCGGCCAGACCTATTATTATATTATTGACTTATTGAAAAAGACTTGAGTG